CCTCCACTTCCCCAAACATGTCGAGGATAAACTCGATTGCATGTATTTCATATACGACTGATCTTGAGAATAGAATAACATCATCAGCATAGAAGTTACACATGTACTTGATTGAACCTGGTTGAAGCGATTGCAGTAGCCTTTGCTCACTTATCTAGGTGAACAAGCGGTGAAGACTATCTGACGAGATCCTAACATACAGGTATGTTAAGCCTCGGGTACAATGGTTACCAAATGAAGAAGACCCCCCGACTGACCCCTTCAAGATCAATCGGGGGCTCGGGGGCTATGCCCATCGAGCACGCTCGCGTGCACCCTCTAGCAAAGAAGACCTGGCCGAGCCTGACTCGACCATAGCTTCCTCCTAGGGTTCGGGGCTTCCCCAAGCCTTGGACTCCCGAGCTACGGCACCTCTGGGCCTAACTCTTGGCTCCAGCCAAGCTAACGATGCCAACCAAGGCCCATGCACAAGAAGACAAGCCCTAGGCCAGTGATGCCTGGGGCTCCCTAGCACCGCTCCCTAGGCGTGCTCCTGCCAACTGCTCCACCGATAGGGTCATGTTTGGGGCATGACACAAGAAGACAAAGCTTCCCGCGGCCTCTAGGGGCCCGGGGGCTTCCAGCCCCGCACGTCAGCCCATGAAGCCAACCTCCTTCGCCACCAAGAAGACTCCAGAAGGTCTCACCCAAGGGAGGCCGGTCCAAGCCGACACCCTCTAACACACAAAGTGTCAGAACACAGTAGCCGGACGACGCCCAGGCTTCTTCGGCTTTAAGACACCTCAAAGGTCCACGGCGCACCGCTGCAAGCTCCTCCTAGACTCCGACGCATATAGACCATAGACTAGAACCCCAAACCGCCTTGTACCCGACCTATCTCGTTATATAAGGGATAAGGACAGACCTAGAGAGGGGAGGATCTCAATTCGATCACCAGATACTCCATTCCATTCCATCTACCTCCGCTCTGCACCGAGAGCAAGGCAACCCGGAGAGGGGCACCGAGAGCCCCTCTTCCACCGCATTCCACCGCTTCCTTCCTCTCCGACGAGGGGGATACTCCACCGGTGGTGAGGCAACCTTAGGATTAGCACCGAGCTAACCACCCTACCAAACTCTCTTCCTTTACACTCTATTGTAACCCCCCCAGATTTTGAGTGCTGTTGAGTATAAGGATCATCAACTGCTAGACGTAGGCACTGAATTGTCCTGAACCGAGATAAACCGTCACGTCTTCTCTGCGTGATTCTTGTGTTCCTCAGTCCACCCGAGCCACCGAAGACCCCATACTCTAACACCGACTCGAAAAACATGCTTGCCATGGGTTCGACCCAACGACAGCTAGCGCGCCAGGTAGGGGGTAGCGTCAAGTGCGATTCTGGCTCTACGGTGGCTGAAGCCACCCGCCTCATCACAGGAACAAGTAGCATCGCCCCAGACGGCCATGTCCCCTTCTTCGGTGAGTTCTCTGTCATGACTGGTGCCTTCGCTCTAGGCTAGGTCCTCAACTTTGGGAGCCTGGCCTACATCGTCGACTGCTACAGCGAGCTTCGTCCACTTCACGGGGCTGCACCAATGGGAAATGAGCCCCCGGTGACGCCTCCTCCGCCAGGACACTTAGGACTATTCTTGAGGTTCTGGTCCGTTAGATCCAACGCGGTATGGTCCCGAACATCACGGTGTCGGACCGCCACCAGATGTTCTACATGCTACTCAACGTCCACCACCAGATTGCCACCGGTGAGGTGCTCCTACCGCCTGATTGCTTCTGGTCCTACCTCTCGGACCTGCATTTTGGTACATAGAACATGGCGGCGTCCTTGCAGCTAGAGCTGGAGTACCTCATCAGTCGCGAGGCACCATAGAGCATCATCCTCTCCGACGCAGCAGGGACTGATGTCTCCTCGCTCCGCGCCTTCCTCGAGGTCCTCTTGGGGAAAGAACTGGAGTATGACTCCGATGACATCGACTACGACTCCCTACCGTGCATGTGCTACCATGTCGATGCCGACGATCTTGCTGAGGAGGCACCCGGGCTCACGCCGCTGGACCAGAATCCCTGCAGCCATGTGGCCTACCTTCAGGAGAAGGTGGACCGCTTGCACGCTCGGCAGGTGGACTTGGAGGCCACCGAGGTAGAGATCGAGCACCAAAGGCAGGACTTTGCATGACAGCAAAACGCACACCCTCTCGGCGATGGCGACGACGCCCACATAGGGGCTCCCAGCCTCCTCTGCTTCCCCCGTGCGGCGTACAACATGGCAGCCACCGCTTGTCGCCTGGAAGACATCTCCGACACGCCGGACCCGATGACCAACGAGTGGCTGAATGAGGCGAAGCGGCTCCTCCACGTCGCCCTCGAGCAGCAGGTCGATAGTTTAGCCTCTCGACGCCATGCCATGCACTCCCAGCCGTCCCAAACAACGACCACTGTTGGCTGCACGGCCTGTTCATTGGTTGGTTTCTAGGTTGATAAGCCCGACTGGTGCTGGTTGTTGTGGGAGAAAAACACTGTTGGCTGGCTGATAAGCCCTGGCTGAAATCAACAAGCGAACATGCTGGTTAACCAGATCATCAATTGTTGTTTATATGTAATGAAGTTTCACGGCGCCCTCCCCATCATAGAGAATAGGTTTGCCAGTTCCAAATTGCCGTCTTCGATCCATGCGTCGCCTTCCTCAATGATAGCGCTAGCAAGCTCTGATGGGCACCGTTACAGCCCCAAAAAAGACTCTAGAATTCGGCTCCATCCAAAGAAGCTCAGCAACTAGGAGTACAAGAGAGTCAACATCCTCTGCGGATTCCTGCGCTTAGCCTCAGCCTTTGTTGGAGCCACCAGTTTACCGTGTCATAGATGGCTTCTGACACCAAGGAAGATAGGTTAGCTGGCTGGAAGGTTCTAAACCAGACTTCCTACGGAAAACACAGGCCGTCAGTAGATGACTCGTCGTCTTGGAACATTGGTGGATCATCGCAGTAGCTGGTAGTTATTGCTAAAGGTGGGTCGTCGCGATAGCCGATGTTGTTGTTGAGCTATGGAGTTTGCGGTGATCATGTTGTGTGCGGTGCGTTTGTTGCTTGCCAACCGGCCTATAGTGTGTGGCATTGTTGATTTTTTTTTTTTGCAAATAGCCTAGCCTCCTAGGGCTATCTTCTCGTATTTTCTGCTATAACGATAAAAACTGGTATTGTAAATGCTGGTTTGTATAAAATAAATTCACATATCGATACCCTGCAAGCCTCATGAAGGAGGGGATTCCCCCCCAGAGAGGAATTATAAGACGTTTCTGGCTTTTTAGATACATAATTTTTGCTACATGCTTAGATATACATTATGTCTAGATGCATAATAAAAACAATATATGCAGAAAAACGAAAATATCTTATAATTGAGATCAGTGGGGGGTACTATTGTATAGCACCTCCATGACCTCACCAAAATCATTGGCATGCACATGGCGGAGGCAACGCCACTTTTATGTGAGCATGTCGGCATCCAAGACGCCAAATAATGCCTCCGCCTCCATGGGCCACAGCAAACTATCTCTCGGCCAAATTATAGCATTCATTGCTTCCGACAGGTAAAACACTAGTGACAACTCTCCTAGGGTGCTAAGGATGCAATTTGATGTTGCACGGAGTGGGCGCGGTTGGAGTGACAGGTTATAAGGGTGCAGCAATGGGCGTGGTTTGTTGAATTGTTGTGTAGAAGGTACCGTGAAAACGGTTTCTCATCCTTATTAATTAGAAACCCTAATCACCCCTTGATCCCTTGTTATCCATAGTAGACATGCTCCTCGCAGAAGCTAAATTAACAACCCGAGCCTGGGATCAGAAACCCCTTCAACACGGGTTAAACCGGCCTACGTCGAGGTTTTCTTGGCCTAACATATTTTTTTAACTATATACTACTCTATCTCAAATTATAAGTCACTCTAACTTTCTTGAGAGTCAAAACACGTCAAGTTTGACCAAATTTATATACTACAATGATAACATTTATGATAATAAATAAGTATGATTAGATTCTTTATTAATTATATTTTCATAATATATCTATTTGATATCATAAATCTTTATAATTTTCTCTATAATTTTGGTCAAATTTGAGATGCTTTAATTTTTTAAGAAAGTTGGAATGCCTTATAATTTAGAATGGAGGGAGTAACATTTATGTGTAGCATCGTATGGCGTATTTTCTGGTGGTTATTAACTAGGGATCCAAATTTGTACAACCATAAAAAATGTATGACCGAGGGGAGACGGTCTAGGCCAGTGGCGTTTGAATTACCAGAGTCCAAAGCATACCAATTGCAACTCCTCTCATCTGCAACACGATGGACGAGACGAAGAACACACGAGAACGCACGGTGTACATGCATATATTGAACACATGACTACATGAGAGTAAACCCATGAAATCAAAATTTTCCCTGGAAAATGTGTTGCGGGGACAGATCGAGTGACACACATCACTACGGGATACTGAAAAAAGTGCGACAGACAAACCTACCGACCCTAGCTGATTAGCAACTTCGCTCAAACATGGAGGGGAACATAACAGATAATGAATTAACGAAACCACCATAGGACGCGCCTCCTTGATTATTCAAAGCCATAGCACGACTCATCGTCGTCCCGATGCAGGGACCAAGGGGGCAGCGCAAATTAGGCACTCAAGCGGATGTGGCTTCAAGGCAGACCCACTGGCCGACGAATATCTTCTCGCAGTTGATGTTGGGGTTGAAGCCGAGGAAGTCGTCCTGGCTCAGCCCCTATCCCTACGCCACGGAGGAGCACGTCTCGCCCGCCTGCACCCCGTGCACCTTGTTGCAGGTCAGCTCCGGCACCGGCGCAGCCTTCTCCAGCACGTAACCTGCGACATTTCATTTGGCATGCACGCTCAATCATACGGTCAAGACAACGACGACGCACGGGCACAGATGCATTTCATGCCGGATGATTGTTTGGACGAAGGGTCGGAGTATGTAGCTGCATACCTCCATTCGCGTCGCGGCGCACGGTGAGCCTCGTGTTGACCTTGGCCCCGCGGAGGGCCGCCGCCGCATTGTGGCGCACGGCGGTGAGCCTCGCGTCGACCCCGGAGAGGGCGACTGCCACGAGGAGAGACGAGATCAGGAAGATGGCGGCGGCGCCGTGGTTCGCCATTGCGAGTGCTGCCGCTTAAACCGTGCAAGCAGATGTATTATGTGTAGAAGAAAAGAGCTCGAGCTATGCTTTGCTGCTTGGATGGCTTGGTGTCGCAAAGAGTATGCTTCGCGCCTTCTTGTAGCTCGGCGAATGCGGTAGCTGATAAGATGTAGTACGTAGTACGTGACAGATCCTCGGAGATGTCGCAAGGACGGCCAACGGACGGGTGAATCGATGACGCTGATATGGACATGTCGTCGCAGCACATTATTTTAGCCGGCGTCTCTATTGTAATTTGGTCCAGGACCAAGTGAATCCGCGGGGTTATGATTCCAATGGAGCTCATTTGGAATATTCTCTTATCCATGCAGAATGATTTTAACCGAGCAAGGATCTTAGTTACCTTTGTATTTGCCCTATGTAACTGTTGATCCATTAAGGCCTTGTTTGGATATAGTCGGATTCGCATCAATGCACATGTGTTGGGGTGGCACATGTGGATTGATGTGAATGCGACTACGTCCAAATAAGGCCTAAGAGGAGTTAGCATGTTTTGTGAGTGTTACTTATCATGGTGAGAAAAGATGGAGTTTTGTATTTGAACGTGAAAATTCCAAATCTGCAAAAATGTTTAAAAGCTCTGAAAGACTTCTCGCTCTATTTTATTAAAGCCACGCTTGTTTACCCCTTGATTTATAATACTAGTTCATCAACGCGTGCTCTTGCACGGGTTAGAAGCATATGAGTAAATGTTTTTATTAATATTCACTCTTAAGTATCATAATGACATAAGTAATCATTAATTGTTAAGGCTACACCATGTCACTTAAGATTAGTGATAGAGTTTGATGTGAGATTTACAATAGGGAAGACCGTAGGCACCAATGCTATATACTAAGCTCCTCCTTTTTCTCAAGATGTTTGATTTTTCTATCAACCAAATATTTATGTAGTAATGGTTATATTATCAATATAGATATTTCAAATATTTTAGTTAAAATATATAAAATGTATATCTTAAGAATGTGTGCGTGTGTGTGTGTGATTTGCATGTTTACACAATATGTATGTTTACTCAATTTTTATTGTATTGATATTTATAAAATAAGCAATGGAGAAACATATTTGTGCTTTATGGTTATTTAAATCTTTATTGGTAAGCTACTAAAATAACAGTAAGATATAGATAATTTAGACACAAATCTAAATAAGTTGCTTTCCATTATCTTTTATAATGGCATATTATAGCATCATTTTCTAGAACATAGAGTGTTTATATATTATATAATGTTATAGTACAATGTGTACACTTAGATCAAGGCTACTAATACGGTTGGCTACTGACTATAAGGATCTTTATAACCAATCTCTCAGTCCACTTATATAGTAGTTAGCTTTTCATTATTAATGTCTGACCCACTTGTCTCTCTCACAAAGTTTATTGTTTTTTGTGTTTAAGCCAGCTGTAAGCTTACAGACCACTTCTCCTCTCTCTTCTTTCCTCTCTCCTCCACCTCAGCATTCAGCCTGCTTACATCCTGATATGTTGTTAAAATAAATAATTATTCTAATGTATACTTAGTTGGTCTATATGGTGGAACATGACATTATGCTTATTTTTAACTTAACAGTTATATAAGTATATAATTTAGAAATATATATAGCTACTTTATAGAGATTTTTTTGTGATAGTATATTATTAGTTATACATTGCATGGGGTCTTTATTTTAGTGTTTTATATGTGTGCATCATTAACTGAGCAATTATTATGTAGGCATAATAGTAGATTGTATATTTGCACATGAGTTGCTTGTAGAATGGCTCAAACTGACTGAACGGTATATGGTTGTAGATAAATACATGTGACAGATCTTAATGCAGATCAAATCTGAATAATGTATTAAAAAGGTAGTAAAATGGATTCATAATCTGAATGTATTAAAAAGGCAGTGAATTAGATTCATAATTATATTTGCCATGAAACAGAATTGACATTTGGTTATAAATTTATTATTGCGATCAAAGGCTAATATTATTTAATTATTGATATTGAATGAAGGCCTACTGCTAAATTTTTTTCATAGTTGTTGATGTTATTGCGATGACATGAGATATTGCCCTCTCATCGGTTTGTTGAATTTTAGTCCCCAAAATTGAACCATAACCTTTTGGGCACTGCAAATCTGGATGTGAAAAATAATGTAATTTAAGATGTGCAGAAACATTAGGAAATATTTTGAGCTCAATAACACTTAAAAGTTTGTTGTGTCTTTTGTGGAGGAAAAAGTAGCTTAATCAGGACCACAATATCACGGATTTTTGTCATTCTGATGTTTGTTCTGGTTTCTTCTATTGGTCCAATGTGTGCTGCAACTCCATGATATCTATGAAATATAAATATGAGTTGTTATCCGATAGTGATCAAATGACAGGAATAACATAAAAATTATAATGTTAGTGTGACAATATACTTGTGAGGCACATGTTGATATTTAGTCTATTAGAAAGCATGTCTATACTGAAGAACTGAAAACTATGCTTTGGAATGTCTTGTATATATATCTTTGATGTTCTTTACAGTAGTTGTGAGCAAGAAATTGAGTACCTTATCATTCTCCATTGGTTGATATTTCTATGCAGTCGTCACGAATTTGACGTTTGCAATAACATAAACTTTACCTTCTGATGAGTGGCTTGAATTTTTGCATATAGGCCTTATTAATAACACCATGCATCTTAGTCCCCTATTTTTTATCATCATTAGCATGTAAACTTCAAGTAATCTAAGGGCATTATAATCATAGTAAACAATAAGGATCATGTCGAGACTTATTTGTTCTCCACTGCCTAGTTAACTTGCTTTCATTTTTCATAATTCCTTTACTGGCTTAATCTCACTAAACGTTTGCTGATCATTGCAACATGTAAACTGAAACGGTATAATGGTTATGGATTAATTTACCTTTTTTCATATAGAAGTACTTCACAAAAACTGCAGGACAAACACCACGATCATGGTAGACCAGAGAAATAGATTTCTATTTCGGTGTGGTTGATAAAAATTGTGTGCTTATACCAATAGTACGACACACGTGTATCATGTTTACTAGTTTTGATAGATTTCCTCTAGTATTTTATTAATAAATAGACTAACGAACTGTGAACATGATGGGTCCTGCGTATACTGTTTGTTGCTTTTGATAGATTGTGTCTAATAATTTATTAATAGATCCATAAACGTGATGTGGTCCTGTGGATATGATATTTTGTATTAATATTAATAAAATAACCAAGTGAGCGTGATTGGTAGGTCTAATATTCTATGTTAACCATCTATGAATGAACATTTGTAAGGCGGGTCGAGTTTTTTTTCAATGTATTGATAATGCTTGTTTCATCCATATTTCATTGTATTTTGTACTTTTGGAAACAACGCTATAAAAATCTTCACTGAGAGTGGCATAAGATATCCTTGCCAACCTAGAAGTCTATTGGCCATGGCTTCAATTACCCCACGAGCATGAGCTTTTGGAACTTTCTTTTGCGCTTAAAGGTAACCTGAAGTATGTTATCAGGAATTCCATAATATGACACCAATCGAAGTAACGGAACATTTGGCAAGGTTCATGTGAAGTCCTCCACTTCCCCAAACATGTCGAGGATAAACTCGATTGCATGCATTTCATATACGACTGATCTTGAGAATAGAATAACATCATCAGCATAGAAGTTACACATGTACTTGATTGAACCTGGTTGAAGCGATTGCAGTAGCCTTTGCTCACTTATCTAGGTGAACAAGCGGTGAAGACTATCTGACGAGATCCTAACATACAGGTATGTTAAGCCTCGGGTACAATGGTTACCAAACGAAGAAGAACCCCCGACTGACCCCTTCAAGATCAATCGGGGGCTCGGGGGCTATGCCCATCGAGCACGCTCGCGCGCACCCTCTGGCAAAGAAGACCCGGCTAAGCCTGACTCGACCGTAGCTTCCTCCTAGGGTTTGGGGCTTCCCCAAGCCTTGAACTCCCGATCTATGGCACCTCTGGGCCCGGCTCTTGGCTCTAGCCAAGCTAACGATGCCAACCAAGGCCCAGGCACAAGAAGACAAGCCCTAGGCTACTGATGCCTGGGGCAAACTAGCACCGCTGCCTAGGTATACCCCTGCCAACTGCTCCACCGATAGGGTCACATTTGGGGCATGACACAAGAAGACAAAGCTTCCCACGGCCTCTAGGGGCTCGGGGGCTTTCGGGCCCGCATGTCAGCCCCCTAAGCCGACCTCCTTCACCACCAAGAAGACTCCAGAAGGTCTCACCCAAGGGAGGCCGGTCCAAGCTGACACCCTCTGACACACAAAGTGTCGGAACACAGTAGCCGGATGACACCTAGGCTTCTTCAGCTTTAAGACACCTCAAAGGTCCATGGCGCACCGCTGCAAGCTCCTCCTGGACTCCGGCGCATATAGACCATAGACTAGAACCCCAAACCGCCTTGTACCCGACATATCTCGTTATATAAGGGATAAGGACGGACCTAGAGAGGGGAGGATCTCGATTCAATCACCAGATACTCTATTCCATTCCATCTGCCTCCGCTTTGCACCGTGAGCAAGGCAACCCAAAGAGGGGCGCTGAGAGCCCCTCTTCCACCACATTCCACCGTCTCCTTCCTCTCCGACGAGGGGGATACTCCACCGGTGGCGAGGCAACCTTAGGATTAGCACCAAGCTAACCACCCTACCGAACTCTCTTCCTTTACACTCTATTGTAACCCCCCAGATTTTGGGTGCTGTTGAGTATAAGGATCATCAACTGTTGGACGTAGGCACCAAATTGTCCTGAACTGAGATAAACCGTTGCGTCTTCTCTGCGTGATTCTTGTGTTCCTGAGTCCACCTAAGCCACCGAAGACCCTATACTCTAACACCGACTCGAACAACATGCTTGCCGCGGGTTCGACCCTACAACAACTGGCACGCTAGGTAGGGTGTAGCGTCAAGTGCGATTCTGGC